GGGCTTACACCTTTTAAGGCAGGGGCCTTGATTACAAATAAGGGGAATACTTTCCCAAACAGGTAAGCTTGGTAGCTGTAAATACATAAACATCCAAGGAGCTTCAATGCTCCATCATAAGTCTCCACAAGATCACCAATAGAGTGGACTCACCTCATTAAGACCTGAAAGTTTTGTTAGATTTGGGGTGAGCAATTGCCCAGTAGAAATACTATTAACAGAGTATGTACATGATTGAAATGGATATGATCATGTTATGCACATACCATAATAAAATTCATATTTTTCTATTTTAAAATCAATGATGTTCAATGCACAATTTTCATTCAAAACTCATCCTCTATAATGAGGCGGTAAATACACAATGACATCCCAAGGAAGAGCCGTAAAACCATACATACATATATATAGATTTGCGTATTGAAAATATTCTCACATTTGTTGGCTATCAATATGGCAGGACAATAGGCACCTAAAATACAAATTATTTTTCACTTTTGCTGGCTCATAATACGGTAAGACTAATGGACACCCAAAAACAATTCCCTACATTCGTTTGGTGATAAAGCTCAAGACAGGGTAATTAGGCACCTTGAGTCCGCATGTGGGTACACATCTCATTTCCAAAACCCAATTCAACTGCCTGAACTCATACGCTATTTACCCCCTTTCAACATTTTCAAGCTTCCAAAAGATTATAGAGTTCATAGCACAAGATGATGAAAAGTGATGCATGAATTTATAAACAATTCAATTTACCTAAGTGTAACAACCCTACTCTGTGATTAGCCGCTAATCCGTAATTAAGAATGCTAATAAGGTGGTTAAGTGAAATTTTGTGATAATTGTGCTTCTTATGCGTATTTGTGTTTCTATCTGTCTGTTGTGGGAATATTTGTATGAAATTCTAATTCGAAATAGAAATTGAAGGCCTTGTCGGTATCCGAAACGGAAATTGGTTACATGAGTAAGTTATTTGGAATTTTTAGAACACTTGGGTGAGTTTAATTAAAAAATGTATTCAGTTTAATTAATTAAGTTGTGTTAAATTGGCCTAATGTTCTAATTAATGTATTAATGCATCACAACTATATATATATATATGAGCCATAAGCTCATTTGAGCTCATCCTCCTCCATATTTGAGTCCAAAATTTTGTAGAGAACTCTAGAGAGAGAGAGAGAGTGAACTCTTATTCTAGAGAGAGAAAGTGAGAGATTGAAGGGAAATTTGAAGGTTTTGGCTAGAGTTCATCAAGATCATGCTAGAACAAGAGTAATTCAAGGCTCTAGGTATAAATTTGACCCTCAATTCTTGAAGATTTTTTGTTTTAGAGTTGAATTCTTGGATTATACATGGTCTTTTACATAAATTTTGTTATAGCAAGTCAAGATAGAGTTGAAGTCTTACATGCATGCATGATTTTGCTATGTCTTAACATCTTTGAGTTGGTTTTGATCACTCATGTTGAAATTGTGAGTAAATTGACACATGCATGTTTGAATCATCATGTTTTACCGCTTAAATCCATGTTTTAAAAAGGAGTTTCTTGCATGCATGGAGCTTTTGAGCTCAATTTTGCTAAAAACCATGGAGTTGGAGAAAGAAGTTTGTAAATCCTCACATGCACAAAGGTTTGAACTCAATTTTGGTAAATTCATGAGATTTTTAACAAATGATTTATGAAACAGAATGTATATGAGTTTTGTTTAACATGTTTCCAAGTTTTGGACAAGCCATGAATGAGTTTTGGGCTTTGAGTGTGTGTTTTGATCTTTAAAAGAGTTCTAGAAAACCTAGAAAAATTTACAAACTGCTTGAGCAACCAAGTGGTGGCTCGATTGAACAGGTCAAGTTCCCAGAAGTTTTGCAGTCTACATAAGTTGGCTCGAGCGACCAAAAGTTGGCTCTAGCGAACTGACTATATGTTTTGCATCTGCTCAAGCGACAAATAGTTGGCTGTAGTGCACATCACATTCATCCAGTACTTTTGCAGTCTTCTGTGACCGCTCGAGCGACCAATAGTTGGCTCAAGCGAAGACCTTATTTTCAACATTTTTTTAAAGACGTTTTGTGTATATATTTTTGTTCCTATCCTCCTCCAAGCATGTTTAGGCATGAATTATGAATCATTGAGGATTCTTTATGTAACAACCCTGACCCATGATTAACGTTAATTCATGCTTAATTACACCTAATAAATAATTGAAGTGAAATGTTGCATCATATGTTGCCTTATGTGTGTATATATATGTTTAACATAGAAAGATATGTTCATATTTCCATTTCGGTTTGCGAATTGAAGGCCTTATCGGTATCCGATTCAGAAATTGACTTGATTTATGTGTTAATTGGAATTTTTATAATTTTTTGGTGGGTTTAATTGAAATTCGATTCGAAATGATTAAATTGGATTAGTATAATGCCCATTTCATTAGCTTTAATGAACCATCACTAATTAGTTTATATAAGGCCACTACCAAGCCCAATACTTCATTTTACCTATTTCATTTTTTAGCTCAACGTGTGAAAAAGAGAGAGAGGGAGAGAGAGATTGAAGCCAACATTAAATGAGGAAGAGAATTAAAAAGGAAATAGGGGAGATTGAAGAGAATTGAGGGAGTTTAGTTCCAACACTTGTGAACTCAAGTCTCTAGGTAAGAATTTTATCCTTAAGCCTTGAAATCTAGATTATAATGTATGAACACAAGAGAATTATGTTAATTGATGCAAGAATTAAGTTAGAAATGAAGAGTATTGAGCCATACCATGCATGCATGCATATTTTCTCACATTTTGATTTTAATTTCCAAGAATTCCCTCATGCATGTCTTGAATTCACCTTTATTTTGGGAAATGATCAAGTTTCATGTTGTTTTGTAGCATTTAATCATGTTTTGAGAAGCTTAAGCTCAAAGAAATTCATGCATGTCATGTTCATGGATCATTCATAAATTTAAGTTGAATTTTAGCACAATTGGCAAGCTATTTGGCCATGATTTCTTGAAAAGGTCCTTAAATCATGATGTATTATGAATTTCTAAGTATTCCTCAAGTTTTGGCCCAGAAAAATCAAGTTTTGATGCTTAAAGATTGAGTTTTGAGCTTTGGAAGCAAATATGGAAATTCCTACTTCCCGTTCGAGCGTAAGAGTCCACGCTCGAGCGACCACTCTGAGTGCCTGCAGTTCCACTCGAGCGACCATAAGTCCGTTCGATCGTGAAATGCAAGCTCCTGGAAGTTCATGTATTTCTGCAGGTCGCTCGAGCGACAAGAGTCATGCTCAAGCGAGGGTCTGAGTCTCAGGCTCGAGCGAGGATCGAGCATCCGAAGAGAATGAAAAGCAAGCAACCAATACTTTTTCAAAATTTATAGACCGCTTACTCAAGCAAACCCTCACGTTTTGCATGTCCGCTCGAGCAAGAAAAGCCGCGCTCGAGCAAGGACCCTGTTTTTAGCAAGTTTTAAAAAATGTTTTTAAGTACATTTTTGCATCTTCATTCCATCCTAGGCATTCCTAGGCCAAGATTAAGACACCATAATGAGGATGAAGGCCAGAAACACACTAAGAACAATGAAATAAGATAGGTACATTCCGAGCGTGTGTTTCAATGTATGTATCTGTTATGTTATGTAGGTCACGCGCCACAGATTTGCTTATTACTTCTATTTACCTCAGAGCCTCTCTTATCTGTGAGTAATAACATTGTAAAGCTATGTTCAATTCTAAGTATTTTCTGAATGATATAAGATGATTTGTTTCTATTTATATTATTTTCTACACGAATGAATGGTTATCCAATATTTCTGAAATATATTCGTGGCATTCTTAGCTCTAAATGACATTTGTTACCTGTTCTGTTACGTCTCAATTATGGGTCAACTATACGTCTCATGAGCCAACTGTTATGGATCCTTATGTATACGTCCCTTTATAGGCCAACTATACGTCTCATGAGCCAACTGTACCATCTCCGTGCACTAGAGTCAACTATATGCCTTTATGGCCATCCCTTTATGGGTTAACTGTATGCCTTTATGGCCGTCTCTTTATGGGTCAACCATTTCTGCTAGTGCTAATGAATGTGCCATGTATGAGTAACTACAAATTCTAATTATGAATATGACTCTGAAACTGTATCTGTTATGTACTATGATTTCTGAACATAATTACGAATTCATTTCTGACGACTATTGAATTCTATTTTCTGTATCTGTTATGGGCAAAATTCATTAAACCTCTTTACTCTGTTATTGTTTACTAGGCTCCAGCTCACTATTTATATTATGTATGTTGGTGAGCAGGCACGTGACCAGGCCCAGAGTTGATGGCCTATGTTTCTGTTTTGTCAGCCAACTACCGTACCTCCTGAGGAGGTTCCTTTTGAGAAGATTATGTCAAGGCTTAGTTGAGCTTTTTTTGTATATCTATACTTAGGCTAAGTACCCTTTGACCTTATCTATATAATTGGGTGACGTAAGACTAATGTATTTTTGACGTCACACCTGTATATATATATAAGTTTGTTTTGAAAATTTCTATCCTATGTATGTCTGAACAGCTCTATGGACTATGTTAATTTTGTTTATTTGCTTCCGCAGCCCCTATCTTATGTTATCCTGTTCAGAGGCCTTTGGTAATCCAAGGATTACTGGCCGGTTACGACGCTAAACCCATAAGGACGAGTTTGTTTCGTGACAGAGTGGTATCAGAGCACATGTTATACCGCACGCACGAGTCCATACGAGCTATAGGATGTCCTAGGAAAGAATTAGGGACATTCGATCTGTATGTGTGAGTATGTAATAATTTTTGTACATGAGAAAATTTCATCCGAATATAAACACATGAAATTAAATTGACTAAACTGAGAATGAATGTTTTGAACATTATGAAAATGACTATTTGCCTATGTTTATTGCCCTTCTGTTTCCCTATAGCAAGTGAAAATACAAGAAGTGATGATACAGTAGGGTCTTCAGAGGCCTGAATGAACAGAATGGAACAGATGCTTGCAGCCCTGACTAATGTAATAACGCAACAACAGAGGCAACAACTTTTACCTCCTCCACCTCCACTGGTACAAGTTAAACCGGACAACAATGATATTATCAATCTGACTCAAAAGTTCATAAAAATGAAACCACCAACCTTTTTTGGTGGAATTGAACCATTAAAGGCTGAAACATGGTTGTTGGAGATGGAGAAATTGTTTGAAGTATTTCCTTGTTCCGAGGTTCAGAAAGTTCTTTTGGCTACCTACACTCTAAAAGATGAAGCTTGGAGATGGTGGTTATTGGTCTGAAATAGTAATAGAAACATGACATGAGCTCAATTTAATACTATCTTTTATGACAAGTACTTTCCACAGTGCTTTTGGAATCGAAAGGTTTCAAAATTTCAGGAACTCAAACAAGACAGAATGTCTATAGCAGAGTATGAGGCAAAGTTTACTGAGTTAGCTAGATTTGCTCCTCACATGATGGACACAGACTATAAGAAAGCCCGCAAATTTGAGGGTGGATTGGATTTAGATATACTAGATTGGGTAGGAGTCATCAATCTACCTACGTCTGTGTGACAACCCTCACATCTGATTAGTGCTAATCTATGATTAAGCATGATAAGTAATTGAACAGACTGAAATTATGAACTGAATGGATGAGTATGTTGGTTGATTGCATTTCTATCTGTTAGTCATTAAATGATCTGTTCATGTTTTAACTTTGAATTGTGAATTGAAGGTCCTATCGGTGACCGAATTCGAAATTGATTAGTGTTATATGCTAATTGGAATTTATGTGATTTTATGGTAGGTTTAATTTAAGTTCAATTTGGAATGATTAAATTAGATTGTATAATGTTAAATTACATCAACTTGAGTTATTACCTTTTTGCCATCTAGTGGGCCACTTTTAGAAGCTTTGTTTGGGGTTGATCTATACACTTGACACATAATCTCTTCAACCTTTTTCTAGAGCAAAACCGTGTGAGAGAGGGAGAGTAGAAGAAAGAATTGATTCAACAAAGTTTGGCTTGGAACTTAAGAGAAATTAAAGAGAGATTGTGTAATTGAAGCTTCAATACTTGGAATTCAAAACCTAGGTAAGGAATTCATCCTCTCAATTGTGTATTTAAGTTGTTACTTGCATGGTCCATGGTAAATTGGTGATCCAAGTCAAGAATTAAAGCAAAGAGTTGAATTTGAGTGTGAATTCATGCATGCATGTACATGTTCTTGGAATTTGAGGTTGTTTTCATAAAATCCTTACATGCATGTCCATTTTCTAGTTGTAGTTCATGAATTTATCATGTTTTTGGAAGGACTGACTCATTTGATCATGTGTTAGAAGCTTTGAATTCAATTGAATACATGCATGTTAAATGTACATCTTGTTCTTGAAGTTTATTTGAATTTGTGTTCAATTGGCTTACCTTTGGGCTTGATTTTACAAAATTGATCTTCAAAACATGTTGTAGTATGAGTTTTCAAGTGTTTTCCAGGAAATGGGCCCAAAGGTTGAGTTTTGATGTGTTGAATGCTTGGTTTGAGCTTGGGAGGCAAATCTGAAAATTCCAGATTTTGGCTTCCACGCTCGAGCGATCGTCTTTTGTTCAGAGCTCTGCTCGAGTGAAGGAATGCTCGCTCGAGCGTAGATTGAAAGCTCTCAGATGTTTGGTGCACGTAGACGCACGCTCGAGTGACGAGACCTACGCTCGAGCGAAGGATGTGTCTCACGCTCGAGCGAGCATCGAGCGAGCGTCAAGCGGAGATTTTCAACATCCAGCACTTTTTGCATTTTTACAGACCGCTCGAGCGAGGAAGTCCACGCTCGGGCGACCCCACTGTTTTGACAAGCTCGCTCGAGCGAAGAAAGCCACACTCGAGCGAGACCCCTGTTTTCTAAAAATTTTGGAAAGTGTTTTAAAGTGCATCTTTGCATCCTCATTCCATCCTATACATTCCTAGGCCTAGTTTAAGGCATCTTAATGAGGATAATGTTATAGAACCACACCAAGTCAAGATAGGGGCTAAGATGTTAATCCCATGTGTGTAACTTAGTATGTGTTCGTTCTGCAACTGTGTAGGGTTGGCATCCGAGGACGCTCATTAGCTGCTTATAGCCCAGTGCTTTGTGAGTAATAATGTTGTAAAGATATGTTCAATAATGATTATTTTCTGAACAATTAACTGTATTGTTTTCTGAAGTGATACTGTTTACTGAATGAATGATGTCCTATTTATGAACTGTACTCATGGCATCCATAGCAACTTACTGTTACTGTACTGTTACAGCTACTGTCACAGAGATCTCTGTCGGTTCCAATACTTGGAACCAATACTGTATACTGTTATGATGGCCATCAACTGACTGCTTGGTCTGTTAAGACCTACTATACTGTTTGTTATTGGATGTACCACATATAACTGATATGACTGATTTATTACTGAAAAGACATTCATTCTTAACCTCTTTACACAACTGTTATTCACTGGGCTTTAGCTCACTGTTTATATATATATATATATGGAGGTGTCCAGGCACCGGACCAGAGCTAGGAGCATCGGGTTAGCTCTCGTTTTTTCAAGCCAACCATTGTGCCTCACTGCGAGGTTCCAAGTCGTTTCAAGCTAAGGCTGTTTTGGGGTGTTCCAGTTTCACCCTTCTGTCTCTGTTTGTAATAAATGTTTAAGACTTGACTGTATAGCTACGGTGTAGGGATTTGGTCCCTAACCTGAATGTTTATGTACATGATGTATATATGTTTTGTTTATGAATGTGGTTTTGTTTATAAAAGTCTTTTCGCATTCAGACTGTCACAGCTTATTGGACATCTTTTATTTACTGTTTTGGCTTCCGCCAGCCCCTTACTCTGGATTACTGTCTTTACTGTTAAGCAGGCCTTTGGTAATCACGGATTACTGGCCGGTTACGATACTAAACCCATAGGGGCGGGTTTGGGTCGTGACAGTATGTGAATGTATTGGATAGAGCATTGATGACAGAAACCATTTTGGCCGCAAAAAGCCAAGCTCCAGCCCCAACAACTGAATGGAAAGGCAAAAGATCTGGATTCAGTTTTAAAAAGAACCGTTCAATTGCCATGAATAAGAAACAAAATACGGGATCTTCTAGCAGCTCAAGTCAAAGTAGTGGCTCTACGCCTGTTTGTACTCAATGTAGGAGGAGATATAAAGGAGTTTGCCATCGGGTATTGGGTGCTTGTTTTCGGTGTGGCAAGACGGGCCACATGATAAGGGATTGTCCAATCGGGTTAGAAAATGCCAATCGTCCTGTGACAAGTTCAGCCAGGATCTGCTTCTGGGTCAAAAATAAATGCTAGAACTAATACTGGGAAAGAACCTCAAAGACAAGGTCAAGTGTTTGCCTTAATGCCTGGTGATGTACAGAACACCGAAGTTGTGGTGTCAAGTATACTCCTTATATGTTCTCAAAATGCATGTGTACTGGTAGATTATGGTTCTACGCATTCTTTTATATCGCATGCTTTCTCTTGGAAATTAACTAGATCATTAGAACCTATGCCATATGTGTTATCTGTATCTGCACCGTCTGGGGATTCTATGATATGTGCTTATGTTTATCCGGCATGTGATATTGTGATTGGTGAAATGACATTGTATATTGATATGTTGCCCTTAAACATTGATCATTTTGATTATATTCTGGGTATGGGTTGGTTAACTAAATACTGTGCCACCATTGACTGTGCAAGTAAATCTGTTGTGTTTAGACCACCTGGTATACCTGACTGTACTTTTGTTGGAAATGGGGTAGTTCCTCCACCATACTTGATTTCGTTTATAAAAGCCAAGACGTTGTTGAGAAAAGGGTGTTGAGGCTATTTGTGTAGTGTGTTGACTGTGTCTTCAGATAGTACCAGTGTGGGAACTATTCCGATAGTTTGTGACTTTCCCAATGTGTTTCCTAATGACCTGCCTGGGGATTTAATTGACAGAGAAATTGAGTTTACAATTGACATAGTACCTAGAACACAACCTATTTCTAAAACCCCATATAGAATGTCAACATCTGAACTGAAATAGTTAAAAGTCCAACTTCAAGAACTGTTAGACAAGAAGTTTATTCATCTGAGCACTTCACCATAGGGTGCTCCAGTGTTATTTGTCAAAAAGAAAGATGGGTCTTTGAGGCTATGTATTGATTACCGTGAGTTGAACAAAGTAACCGTCAAAAACAAATAACCACTACCCCAAATAGATGACCTATTTGACCAACTTCAGGGAGCCCAATTGTTTTCTAAAATTGATCTTCGATCCGGGTATCACCAGTTAAAGGTTAAGGCAGAAGATGTAGAGAAAACTGTATTCAGAATTAGATACGGTCACTATGAATTTTGGTAATACCGTTTAGGGTGACTAATGCACCTGCTGCCTTCATGGACCTTATAAACGGGGTGTTTAAATCATATCTGGATGAATTTGTTATTGTATTTATTGATGATATCTTGATTTACTCCAAAGGCAGGGAAGATCATGAGAATCACTTGAGAACCGTGTTACAGACGCTGAGAGAAAAGAAGCTATATGCAAAAGTGTCCAAATGTGAATTCTAGCTCGACAGTGTAGCATTTATGGGACATGTGATTAACAAAAATGGTGTATCAGTAGACCCATAGAAAATTGAAGCTATTGTCAACTGGCCAAGACCAACCAATGTGACAGAAGTTAGAAGTTTTCTGGGACTTACTGGTTATTACAGAAGATTTGTGAAAGACTTTTCAAAACATTCTATACCATTGACCCAGTTAACCCAGAAAAATGTCTCATTTGATTGGAATGATCAAAGAGAGTCTGCCTTCCAAGAGTTGAAAACTAGGTTAGTAACTGCACCAATTTTGACTCTACCTAATGGTACTGATGGGTTTCAAATTTACAGTGATGCTTCCTACAAAGGTTTGGGGTGTGTGTTAATGCAAAATGGGAAAGTGATTGCTTATGCTTCTCGGCAACTCGGCCCTCATGAAAAGAAACCTTGAATTAATCGCCGTAATTTTTGCTTTAACATTTTGGCGCCATTATTTGTATGGAGTGACTTGTGAAGTATACACAGATCATAAAAGCTTAAAATACTTTTTTACCCAAAAGGAACTGAACATGAGACAAAGAAGATGACTAGAATTGATTAAAGATTATGACCTGAAAATTTTGTATCATCCAGGGAGGGCAAATACCATTGCAGATGCATTAAGCCGAAAGTCCATTGGGAATTTGTCGTGTTTGCTCACTGGCCAGAAGGAATTGTTATGTGACCTAGAAAAGAATGAAATTGAGATTGTGATGTGTGAACATGGAGGAATCTTAGCTTCTATTTCCGCTCAGCCTGCAATCATTGAAGAAATTAAGGAGAAACAACCGCAAGATGAATTCCTGAAAAAGATCATGGATGAAATTGACTCAAAACCAAGGCCTGGGTTTGTACTTGAGAACATTGTGTTGAAATTTCAGGGTCACCTTCGTATGCCAGACTATAATGATTTGAGGAAACGCATTCTGACTGAGGCCCACAATTCCAAATTTACTATGCATCTGGGAAA